CTCCCTGGAAAATACTTCAGAGGTAGAAAAAGAATTGGTGAAGTATTGGATGGGGTGGAAAGTGAGGGAGGTAGCAAGAATGTTTCTGTCCTAGGCACAGGGTGGGTCAGTGTGCTGTCCATGGAGACAGGCAGGCCTGAAGGAAGGTCATGTAAGAGAAGACCCCCCAAGAGATGATGTTAGCTGGGTAGTGGGACACAAGGGTCTGGAGCACCAAAAAGAGGTTAGGACCAGGGATGTGAATTTGAGAGCTGCTGATGTCTGGGTGCGTTTAAGCCCTGGAAATGAGATTCCCCTAGGGAGGGAGGGAGTGTAACCAGAGACCGGAAGGGGCTCAGCCTTGAAGATCTTGGAGGAGGACCCGGCAGGGGAGCCTAATCTGCCCTTGGGCAGCGAGGTCGGAAAGAATGGGAGTGATAGCTGCACAGGGACCCTGACAGGGCAACACAGAGGCCCCAGCGGCCCCAGCCGGTGCCGTTGTGTGCTGCGGCAGGGCTCAAATGGGGCAGAGAGTGATGGCAGATGTAGGAAGATTTATAGATTTGGAGGAAATCCCATCCGGTGGCTTCTATTTCTCAAGAAACTACTAGGCAAGGTCATCAGTGAGCATGAGGAGGGAGCAGAGGGCAGGGGAGGAGAGCAGGAGCAAGGCCCTTTTAGAGCTGTGCCATCCATCAGGTCACTACTAGCTAAAGCCCAGATGTGGACCGTTTCCATCATCCCATCATGTTCTGTCGGCAGTGCTGTTCTAGAGCAGCCGCTCACACCGTGCCCTCCTTAGACCATCTTTGGCATCATCTATGAGCTTGTTAGAATTGCAGATTCATGGAACTCCACCCAGCCTGAGGAATCAGAATTTAGGAGGGACAGAGCCCAGGAAATGTTTTAACTGGTTCTCCAAGTGATTCTCACAGACGGATGTTAAATTTTGAGAATCTCTGTTTAGGGGGAAATGGTGTGAGTGAAGGAAGTAAGAAAGGATTAACCAGAGCCCGGGAAGCAGTGTACAGGAGTCAGCTGTACAAGGGGCTAGCCCTAGCCCTAGCCCTAGCCTCCTCTCATCTGCCTTGTCCATTCAGCTAATGTCTCCTGGATGTCTGTGTTCCCCCTGATGGCTGGGTGCAGAAGAAACGTGTCTCTCACCCCTTTGCCACCAGAATCCTCAAACCTCTCTGCATCTTGCCCCAACATGTGCTAAGCACAGGTCCTCTCGGTACCCGCCCCCCCCCGCCCCCCGGGCACAGCCTCTGCAGCACCTGTTGCCTGTGGCCTGGGTGATGTTGCCCAGCGCTGGACGAGCAGCCTGGCACCATGAGCAGACTTGCCTCCAGGCTCTCCCCTTTGCCAGGGACACCCCTTGGCATCTCCAGGAACCAAGAGCAGGAGAGAGCAGGGGTGTCTGGGAACTCAGACACCTTAGGATAGGAAGTGGTGGGCATCTGTTGGAATTAATAAAAGTCTTGAATGAGTTAATTTTTCCAAAACATTTGGAACAGCGTGGCACAGGGTAAGTGCTATATAAATGTTTGCTAAAGAAATGAAAGCCTGTCGCTCTGTTGGGCCTCCGTGTGGGGGGGGTGGGGTTGGGGGTGGGATATGGGGGGAGACGTTCTCCTGGGTTCCTTCCTTTGCTTGTACCAGGCCTGGGATTTCTTTCTTCGTGTGACCCTGCACAGTCCCAGCAAAGAAGGAACAGGAGAGGAGGCGGGGCTGGGGACACCCTATGGGAGGCAGAGGTCCCCCAAGGGAGCGGAGAGCGAGAGTGGAAGCGGCACATAGAAGAGGCGCCCTCACGGTCTACATTCTACGCCCTTTAGTCCCCTTTCTCTCAGGTCTTGGTTTCCCACTGTTTCCTTTCAAGTTATTTTCAGTATCGGTCTCCACAACGCATCTTACACGTTAAAAATGTCTGTAAGGATGCCTGCCTCGGAGGCGGAGCCCTTGCCTGCCTTGAGGCCCGAAGCTCGGGGTCCGGCCGTGGGTCGCGGATTCCATGGTGGGCGGGGGCGCCGGGCCCGTTGGGGCGTCCTGTGGTCTCTGCTGCCCTCTGGTGGCGGCCTTCAGCTACAGCCCGCGGCCTCGGCGCGGCGCTTCTCGCGCTCGATCTCCTCTCCGCCCCCAGAGGAGTACCAGTGCACCGGCGTCCTGGAGACAGACTTCACCGAGCTCTGCACACGGTCGGGCTACACGAAGTTCCCCAAAGTGGTCATCCGGCCCTACCCGCACTCGCCCTCCGACTCCTCCTCCGTGTCGTCAAAGACCACCGTAGGTGAGTGACAGTGGAGTCCCCGGGGGACCACTGCTTCCATCCTCAGCCTCCCACCTCACGGTGGGCTGAATGGCGGGGGAGCAGGGCAATGTGTGTGTGAGTGCGGAGGTGGATTCAAGGGGGCTGGTGGGGAAATGGAGGAGTCTCCCGTCTTCCTTTCCAAATCCTCGCAGACGCGGGACTGGCAGAGCCCTCCCATCCTGTCACTCCGTGGGAGCCATCCCGGCCTCTTGGGCACCCGTGGGCCAGCCGGGCGCGGGACCTGGGGCGGTGACCCTGCCCCCTCCCTTCTTACCCCGTCTCCTCGCACTCCTGCCTTCTAGACGATCAGCTGCTGTCGAGATCCTGCAGCCTCAACAGCTTAGAGAGCAAATATGTGTTCTTCCGGCCCACCATCCAGGTGGAGCTGGATCACGAGGACAACTCCTTGACGGAAATCTACATCCGCGGTGAGGCACCCCCACCCCGACTGTTCCTCTCATCTGCAGTCCCTTAACCCACCCCACCCCACCCCACCCCTCTCCTTGGCCTGAGGCTCTTCCCCCTTTCCCTCCCACAGGCTGGAAGCTTGAGGAGCAGATCCTGGGTATCTTCTCGAAGTGTCTGCCCTCTCTCAGCCAGCTGCAGGCCATTAAGTGAGGGGGCTTGGCGGTGGGGGAAGGGCTCTTGGTGACCTGGGGGAGAGAACTCAAGGGGCGTGGAAGAGCCTGGGGATTGGGGAGGCGGGGGAGGGGGGATGAGGAAAGGTGGGGCTGGGGTGTGACAGCGGCTGGAGAGGACTACGTGGGGAGGAGGTGATGCTCCAGCTGCACTTCCGTGCTTCTCACCAACTCCAGCCTGTGGAAGGTGGGGCTGACCGATAAGACTCTGACCATGTTCATCGCCCTCCTGCCTCTCTGCTCATCCACGCTCAGGTCAGCGGAGGGGAACAGGCAAGGGGGGAGGCCACCTGGGTGGCCTGGCTGGCTGGGTGGTCAGAGGGGAGCACTCTGGGGAGGCAGTGGGATGTGGTGGCCTGGGTGGGCATCTCTGTAGGGAGAAGGTGCTGCTTTGCTAGTGTCTGTTAAGTTTTGAAGCTCCCATCTGACAAGCAGTGGGTTCCCCTTTCCTGCCTATACAGGTGCCTAAAGAGCCCACCTTTGGGGCCTTAACCCCTCTCCTCTTCATCAGTCCCACGGACACCCACTCTCTCCCTGGAGATTCCTCACTGCCTGGGGCCTGACAGTGTACTAGGGACTGGTTCTTATCCTATAGGACTGGCAGTCCAGTGAGGGAGGGAGGATTTAGGAATAAAGTCAGGGCAGTGTGGGGACTGCCGTGGCCCTTGCTGAGGTTCCCCCAGCACCCTTGACCTCTCCTGCTTCACAGAACGCACCCTCACTGGCCTGCAGTCTTCCTCCTGTGGATGGGATGGATGCTTCTTGAGGGACTTTGCCTTCTTCAGCTGGAGGTCCTTGGTGCTCTTCGTATAGAACACCATGAAACACATATTTTATTCCATCACAGGAATTAAAAACAATTTAGCCAGCAGAAAAGAACTATAGAATCCATCTTAATATGTAAAGATAGGTCAGATCAACATAATGAAAACAATTTAAAATGAATGCAATCAAGTTTAGATGCAAGATGAACCAGCCTGAAAGGTTGGGCAAATACAATAAATCATGGGAGAAATTTTTTAAATAGAGAAATTCTAGCTATTCAGTTTTTGTTGTGACTTGGAAAAAGACCTCCATTTGCTCAGTAGTGTTGGAAAAGCCACTGCCTTGTGGAAGAGCCATGTATTATGTACTTACTGCTGTGTAACAAATTACGTCAAAATATAGTGGCTTAAGACAACAAACATTATCTCACGGTTTCTGTGAGATAAATCCGGGTCTAGGTTAGGGGAGCACCTCTGGCTGGGGGCAGGTGAGGTTGCAGTAAGGCTGTTGGCTGGGGCTGCCATCATTTTGACTGGGGCTGGAGAATCTGCTTCCAAGGCTCACTTATGTGACAGTTGATTGGCCACAGTACCTCCACTCGAGAGCCTCTCCATAGGCAGCTGGTGCCAGAGATCACCCAAGTGGGAAGCCACAGCCTTTTTATAACCTGAACTTGGAAGTGACATCCCATCATTTTTGTCGGATGCCATTCACTAGAAGTGAGCTGCTAGCCCAGCCACACTCAAGGGGAGAGGATTACACAGGGCCGTGGATACCAGGAAGTAGGGATCACGAGGGTCATCTTAGAGGCCTGCTTACCACAGGTCACTAATTCTGGGGAGTGGCCCCTTCACATGGCACACTTCCGGATTTGTAGCCCGGAGAACTGTTAACATGTAATTTCCTATATGGGAGAGGAGTATCCTTTGCTTCTCTTTCTAAGCTGCTCCCCAGAGCCCCACCCTTCGTCTTTGTCCCCTTCCCTCATCTGACCTCAGGGGTGCCTCCTGGGTCTCAGACCTCCTCCACCCCCAGGAACGTGTCTCTGGAGGCGAACCCCTTGCCGGAGCAGTCCTATCACAAGCTTATGGCAGTGGACAGCACGTGAGACTCTCCCTCACCCCCTTTCTGTGGGCCTGTCCTTAGTTCCCACCCTTCTTTGCCCCTCTAGCAGCTCCCCAAGGACCCTCAATTCCTGCCTCTTCACCCTCAGACCGAGTGGCCCTTCCCCTGCCCCCAAGTTTTCCGATGTTCCGGCGAACGCCCAGGCCCCCGTGTTTCCAGCGGCCCGCGCTCTCCCTCCCGCTGCCCAGGATCGCGCACCTGTCTCTGCGGAACAACAACATCGACGACTACGGGGCGCAGCTCCTGGGCCAGGCTCTGTCCACGCTGCACAGCTGCAACCGCACCCTGATGTCGCTCAACCTGGCTTTCAACCACATCGGGGACGAGGGCGCGGGCTATATCGCCGACGTGCGTGCGCGCCGGGCAGGGACCCAGGCCAGCATCGGCGGCCCCGGTCCAG